ATATTTGGTATTTGTGTGGAAGTAGGCACATTCGTGGGTAATAGAATATTGACCCTCACCTTTTTTATTTCCACACTTTGCTTTTCAACACTCCCACTAACTTCACCATTCTCAATGAATCTTGCATTACCGGTTTCAACAATTCTCGAACTATGGTTTGGACAGTAAAACACATACCCTTTAGATTTCTCTGGGTAACCAATAAAGTAACCACTTACTGTTCGAGAATCTAATTTCTTTTCTTGTGGGTTATAAACTCTAATTTCCGCTGGGCAACCCCAAACATACAGGTGCCTTAAACTAGGTTTCCTTCCTGTCCATAGTTCAAAAGGGGTCTTTGGAACTGCCTTACTAGGAACCCTATTTAATAAATATACAACGGTTTTAAGAGCATATATCCCCAATGATTTGGGTAATGAGGAATTACTTATCATGCTCCTAACCATATCCATAAGTGTTCGATTGCGTCTTTCNTATCCATATCTTTCATTTCAAAATTCTTAGAGAGAAAATCTTTAGTCTCACGCAATATACCTAAATCATTAGCAGCAAGTAGAATATCATCAACATATAGGACTAAAAATATAAACTTGCTCCCACTGATCTTTTNTTTGGGTAATGAGGAATTACTTATCATGCTCCTAACCATATCCATAAGTGTTCGATTGCGTCTTTCTGCAACACCATTTTGTTGAGGTGTTCCTGGCATAGTATACTGTGCACATATGTAATCCAATCTATTAGGATGATGAGTAAAATGGTTTTGTTTACAATCTTTCTTAACTTCATTGGTCGTAAAGAGAATCTATGTGTTGCAACAAAAGGTCTAATAATTTAATTGTAAGTACATTTTCTTTTAGTGAGAGGCGCTGCATTTGGTACAATCCTTTGCCCGTGTCGTGTTCGTCTAATTTCTCTGTCATACATAAGATGGCCTATTCACAAACCTTCATATTTTACCTTTTTTTCTCCTTCATGAGTCAAGCTTTGTCGGGGATAAAGCCTTTTTCTTGTTTCCTCTCGATAATAGAATTTCTTGTTGTTTATTTTTTCTCTAAGTTGGTTTAGTATCTTTTTCTCAAAAAAATAAATTAAAAAAGAGAATTTTTGTCTCTGTGGTAAGTTTCTACCTTTCATATTATTTTTCTTTCCTTTTTTATCATTTTTTTCCTGATTTTTAGTTATTTCCTTTCATAATTAGATCATTAATTTTTTTTCCTAGCATTATGTAATAGCTACTATTCAGTGAACTTGTTTTCTAGTGACATATTTTAAGATCGATAAACATCAATCGTGCCGATTGGTTATGATATTAGAAGATAACGATTATACGATATGCAAGAATTTGATGATACAGGAGTAACGTTAATGATGCCTTAATGCCATAAATTGATTTGAAACTTTTTTTAAAATTCTTGGACAGTATAGTAATCTGTTTTGGGCTATTAGGTTGGTGAAATTATTTATTGTTTATTTTATATATGTGATCAATGTATATATAGTTTGTTAGTCACCAAAGTGACCAAACTAGATTGTTTAAAGTATTCACATGCATAAAACTTATGATCTCTATTTTGTGTGTGCACTTATGTTATATAGTTTGTTAGTCACCAAAGTAACCAAACTAGTTTGTTTATGAAAATACGCATACATAAAATTATAGTTTATCCATGAAATTAATGAAATGCCTATAATAAAAATTAGTGGATAAATTAATTTTCACTATTGCTAGAACTTAAGGATTTACCCAAAGGTGAATCAATTATTCTATGAATAGTGAATATGATGAGGTAAATTAATATTCTTAATCAAATATATATTGTCTGTCCAAAGATTGCATATATATTTGGTTAAAANCATGGGAAATCGTATGAAGGCTCCAATTGAAGGCATAGGGACTTATCGTTTGATCATGGAGACTGGACGTCACCTTGATCTATTACAGACTCTTTATGTACCTTCAGTTTCTAGGAATTTGATTTCTCTTTCAAGACTTGATGTTTCTGGATTTGATTTAAAGTTTGGAAATGGATGTTTCAATTTATATAAGAATGCTATTTTTTATGGTTCTGGCTTTCTCAGTGATGGTTTATATAAATTGAAACTCAATATTGCTTTTTCTGAATCTCTTCTTACTGTTCAACATAATGTTGGAATGAAACGTAGTTCACTAGATGAAAGTTTTGCTTACTTATGGCATAGACGTTTGGGTCATATATCCAGAGAAAGGTTAGAAAGATTAGTAAAAAATGAGATTCTTCCGAATCTAAATTTTACTGATCTTACTATGTGTTTGGATTGCATTAAGGGAAAACAAACCAAACATAGTAAGAAAGATGCCACAAGAAGCACCCAGCTTCTTGAAATTATACACACCGATATTTATGGACCCTTTGATGTTCCATCTTTTGGTGGAGAGAAATATTTTATCACTTTTATCGATGATTTTTCACGTTATGGATACATCTATTTGCTGAAAGAAAAATCTCAAGCAGCAGATGCTCTCAAAGTGTTTGTTAATGAGGTTGAAAGGCAATTAGATAAAAAGGTGAAAATCATTAGGTCAGATAGAGGTGGTGAATATTATGGAAAATATAATGAATCAGGACAATGTCCAGGTCCATTTGCAAAGTTGCTCGAGGAACGTGGCATATGTGCACAGTATACTATGCCAGGAACACCTCAACAAAATGATGTTGCAGAAAGGCGCAATCGAACACTTATGGATATGGTTAGGAGCATGATAAGTAATTCCTCATTACCCAAATCATTGTGGATGTATGCTCTTAAAACCGCTGTATATTTGTTAAATAGGGTTCCTAGTAAGGCAGTTCCAAAGACCCCCTTTGAACTGTGGACAGGAAGGAAACCTAGTTTAAGGCACCTGCATGTTTGGGGTTGCCCAGCGGAAGCTAGAGTTTATAACCCACAAGAAAAGAAATTAGATTCTAGAACAGTAAGTGGTTACTTTATTGGTTACCCAGAGAAATCTAAAGGGTATGTGTTTTACTGTCCAAACCATAGTTCGAGAATTGTTGAAACCGGTAATGCAAGATTCATTGAGAATGGTGAAGTTAGTGGGAGTATTGAAAGGCAAAGTGTGGAAATAAAAGAGGTGAGGGTCAATATTCTATTACCCACAAATGTGCCTACTTCCACACAAATACCAAATATTGTTCCAGTTGTTGAAGAACACTGTGACAACATCGAGTAACATTTGGATGAAACACTTCATGAAGAAACTAACTCACAAATATCTGACACAAATGAACCACAAGAAATGCCATTAAGAAAATCTCAAAGAGTTAGAAAATCGGCTATTTCGGATGATTATGTGGTTTATTTTCAAGAGTCCGATTTTGACATTGGTCTTAATAAGGATCCGGTTTCATTTTCACAAGCCATAGAAAGTAATGAGTCTGACAAATGGATTGATGCCATGAAGGAAGAGTTAAAATCCATGGAATACAATAAAGTCTGGGATCTTGTTGAATTGCCAGAAAGTTCTAAAAGAATCGGGTGTAGATGGGTCTTTAAGACCAAGCACGATTCAAATGGAAATATTGAGAGATACAAAGCTAGACTTGTTGCCAAGAGTTATACTCAGAAAGGAGGCATTGATTATAAGGAGACCTTTTTGTCGGTCTCAAAGAAAGACTCCTTAAGAATTATTATGGCTTTGGTGACTCATTATGATTTAGAATTACACCAAATGGATGTGAAAACTGCCTTTCTTAATGGAGACCTCGAGGAAGAAGTTTATATGGACCAACCAGA